CTTATGATGTATTTACATATGTAATAAACCTGTGCATGTACCCATGAACTTAAAATATGTTTTTTTAAAAGAAAAAGAAAAATAGACAATTAGACTTCATAAAAATCAAAACTTTTATGCATCAAAAGATACTATTAGCAGAATAAGAAGGCAATTCACAGAATCAAAGAAAAGTTTATAAATATTTGATAAAAGATTAATATCAAATTATATATAGTGAACTTCTAAAACCCAACAACAAAAAAGCAAACAACCTGATTCAAAAATGGGCAAAGAACTTGAATAGACATTTCTCCAGAAAAGACATATGAATGGCCAACAAGCACATGAAGATGCTCAATTTCACTAATTATTGAGGAAATGCAAGTCAAAACTACAATAAGATACCACCACATACCCTTTAGGATGACTACTAACAATTACAAGAACAACAACAATAATTTAAAAAAAAAAAAAAAAAAAAAACGGAAAATAAGAAGTGTTAGCAAAGATGTGGAGAAATGAATTCTTGTGAACTGTTGGTGAGATTCTAAGATGATGTAGCCCCTACGAAAAACAGAGTAGAGGTTCCTAAAAATAGAATTATCATAAATCAGCAATTCCACTTCTGGGTACATATTCAAAAGAATTGAAAACAGGATCTAGAAGAGATTTTGTATACACACATTCATAGCAGTATTATTCACAGTAACTTAAACCTGGAAGTAACCCAAGTGTCCACTAACAGATGAATGGATAGGCAAAATGTGGTATATACATAACAATGAAATATTATTTGGCCTTTAAAGGGAAGGAAATTCTGACACACACTACAACATGGATGAAACTTGAAGACATTATGCAAAGTAAAATAAGACAGTCACAAAAAGACAGATACTGTATGGTTCTACTTAGATGAGGTACCTAGAGTAGTCAAAATCATAGTGACAAAATGTAGAATGCTGGTTGCCAGGGGCTGAGGGGAAGGGAAAATGAATAGTTATTATTTAATGAATACAGACTTTCGGTTTTGCAAGATGAAAGTATTTCATGCAAAGAAATCATCCAAAAGAGATGGATTGTGGTGATGGTTGTGCAGCATTATGAATGCACTTAATACTATTGAACTATGTTCTTAATTAAAAATGATTGACATGGTAAATTGCACGTTATGTGTATTTTACCACAATTTAAAAATGGGAAGAAACAATGTTTTTCTTACCATCTCCATTATAATCAGTTTTTATAACAGCTGAACAACGGTTTTCTTGCAGTCAAGGCCAGCAGGAAAAGAGGCACTATAATAGAAATCCCCTGGATTCCCTGCAGATGTCTTCAGTCTGTTCAGGTCCACAAGATTAGCTCTGCAGGGAAATTACACATTCCATTTTCTTTACTTTCAAATCAACAACCTGTCATATGCATGGTATTTTGGAAAATTACAGTAACTTGTTTTCTGTTATTTGGGAAATAATGGAAAATAACAGTGATAATTATTGGATCAACTGTTTAAATGTTTGTGTGTGAAGAGAGTGATTTCCACTACCCTGTAGTGTTAAAGACATGTTCTTCTTTCTTAACCTGAAGATATTTCTTTTTTATTTAGAGCTATAAAGCAGCCATGGAACTAAATCTAGACCAAGTGAAGGCCTGTATGAACATAGTAACATCCAAAACACCAGGATATAAAACTCAATTCATTTCCATGTGGATGGAGTTTTCTCTTTCTATATTTCTTCACTCTTAAATGATTAAAAACCTATACCCTCATTGAATTTTTTTTTTTTTTTTTTTTTTTTTTTTTTTTTTTTTTTGAGACAGTGTTTTGCTCTGTTGCCCAGGCTGGAGTGCAGTTGTGCAATCATGGCTCACTGCAACCTCCACCTCCCAGGCTCAAGCTAATTTCGCACCACAGCCTCCAAAGTAACTGGGACTACAGGTGTATGCCGCCACACTCAACTAATTTTAGCATTTTTTGTAGAGACAGGGTTTCACCATGTTGCCCAGGCTGATCTTAAACTCTTGAGCTCAAGCAACACTTGCCTTGACCTCCAAAAGTGCTGGGATTACAGGCATGAGCCCATGCCCAGCCACTCATTTAATTTTTTGAAGACCAAAAACATAGATGTTTAAAAGTGAAATTAGCAGTTTTTACTCTGCTTTGTGCCATCTGGATGTTTGATGTCATAAATCTGTTATTTAAAAAAAAGTGTAATAATGAGGCACCATGATTTTACTGTTCACAAATAGAAACATATGGATTTTCAGAAAGTATCATTATACAGCAATTATGAACAAGTTTACATAAACTAAAGTCCTACTAGAGTTCACTTGGCTCATTTTCCTCACAGTTTTACTCAGATATCAAGACTAAAGTACTGTTTTAAGTACTATTGTCCTATTTCTTATATCTAATATATTTCTTTCTGACCTTTTACTGGTAAATAAACTTGCTCTTTTTTCCCCTTTTCTTCAAGAGAAGAACTACCCTTGATGAGTTTTTCAGCCAAGAAGGACTGAGAATTATTTTACTTTATCTAATAAAAGCAAAGGTTAATCATTTTTTATTCATTTTTCTTTTCTCTGACTCAGTACTCAATACTTTCCCACTCCTAGCACTTCCCCTATCCTTTATCCCAGCATCTCTTCTCCACTGAAGCACAGATACTTTTGTTCATGGCCCCCTCATCAATAAAATCTATGTTGATCCACCTGACCCTCAACCAGCATGCCTTTCCATGGGGAAAACTAGAACTGGGGTTGGTGGTGGGTGGTGGGAAAGCCATGCTTTTTCCAGCTTAGCCTCTTGATTATACTACAGCAATAAACGATTAAAGACTTGACTAGTACTTTTACAATCAGCTACTCCAACACCTGGCAGCTCAGCTCCCTCCAGCTCAGCTAAGCTCTTGAAAATTAAATAAATCAGATGGAGCCAGAGGACTCCAGGAAGATGGTGGAATAGGAAGTACAAGGAACCCATTTCTCACCTAGACAACAAACACACTGGCAGTATCTACCTGATGTAACCATTTCGGATCTCTACAGCATACTGAAGGCTTGCAACTTCCACAGGAAGCCTTGGGCAGTAAATTGCAGTTAATTTTGGTCAATTTCATCTCTTAGTTTAGCAGAGGCTACCCACCCCCACTCCCAGCCCTGTGGCAGGCAGCCATGATTCATTCCTAGAACAGCTTGCAATGCAGTTTGTAGGACAGAAGGCAGGGAGGGCAGTAAGGACCCTGTACCCCAAATATCAGAATCTGTGATCAGATCACTGATGGTTGCTTCTAATCTTACAGAGTGCAAGACAGAGGTGGCCAGCCATTTTTGTACTCCTCTCAAACCCCCTATTATTGCAAGCCCCTATTTCTCTAGTGGAAGCGATTTTCTGGGGTTTTAAAGGGCCAGGGCTCTTGTTCCACTTCATTTTTCTTTTTCCCGTTTTGAGAGCCAGGCATTAAGGACTAGGACATTTAATAGCAACTGCATACCTGAGAAGACCTTAAATTTTCACCTCAGCTGATCCTCAGCACAGAGACAATCTACAATAACCAAAACAAAACAAATAACAGCAAATGCTGGAGAAGAGGGAGAATCTGATTTCCATATATACCACATTATTAGATTCAAATGTCCAGTTTTCAATAACAGAAAACAATCACAAAGTATACAGAGAAACAGAAAATTATGGTTTATTTAGGGAAAAAAATAAACCAACAGTAACTGTCTCTGAGAAAGACCCAATAGCAGAATGACTAGACAGAAACTTTTAAACAACTGTCTTAAATATACTCAAGGAACTAAAGAAAGATGTGGAGAAAATGAAAGAAACAAAATATGAACAACATGTAAATATCAATAAAGAGATATAGAAAACCTAAAAGGAAGCCAGAAGGGTATTCTAGAGTTGAAAAGTACAATAACTGAAATGAAAAGTGCAGTAGAGGAATTAAAAGGCAGAATTGATCAGGAAGAAGAAAATATAAGTGAATTGGAAGATTAAATGTTTGAAATCATTAATTCTGAAGAATAAAAGGAAAACAAGATTAAAGAAAAGTGAACAGAGCCTAAGGGACCTGTGGGATGCCATCAAGACAACCAACATATGCATTGTGAGAGTTCCAGAAGGAGAAGAAAAATAAAGATTTGAAGGAATAATGGCCTAAAACTTCCCAAAGATAAAGAGAGAATCTTGAAAGCAGCAAGACAGAAAGAAGTAACTCATCATATACAAAAGATCTTCGATATGGTTACCAAGAGATTTCCCTTCAGAAATTTCAGAGATCAGAAGGCAGTTGGCTGATATATTCAAAGTGCTAAAGCAAAAGGGCCATCTACCAAAAATCCTACATCTGGCAAAAACTGTCCTTCAAAAGTGAGGGAGAAATTGAGACATTCCCAGATAAACAAAAGCTGAGGGAGTTTGGTACCAATATACTGCCCTGCAAGAAACCCCAAATGGTGTTCTCTTGGTTGACATAAAAGGACAATATACAGTAACTCAAAGTCATATGAAGAAATAAAGATCTCAGTAAAGGAAAACATAGGCAATTATAAAAGCTGGTATTATACAATGATTTGTAACTCCACTTTTTGTTTCCTACATAATCTAAGAAATTAATACTTTTTTAAAAAAATTATTAATCTGAAATCTAAATCACTATAATATTGATTTGTAACTGTACTACATAATTTAGGAAATAATGCATTTTACAAAAACAATTACTAGTTTACGTTTTTGGACAACTAATATACATAGATGAAATCTTGTGACATCAATAACTAAAAGGGGAGGGGACAGAGCTGCAAATAAATACAGCAGATATTAAATGTAATCCCCATGGTAACCACAAAGAAAATCAACTAAATACAAGAGACAGTAATGCAGGAAATGAGGCACAAAAAGCTATAAGGCATATTGAAAATAAACAGCAAAATGACAGAATTCCCTTCTTATCAGTAATTACTTTAGATATAAATGAATTAAATTGTCTAATCAAAAGGCAGAGATTGTAGAGGACTGTGTGCTCGCAAACAAGAAGTTCCCGATAAGCCCTGCTCTTGCAGACAAAGCAGGACATTCCTTCTCTGCAAACAAGAAGGATATAGGAGCCAGCTGTAAGCAGCGGGCTCTGGGAACTGGTCAATGTTTTACTGATCTTGCGAGTCAAGGAAAGGTCAGAGAAGCAACACATGTCCCGTGACTTGGAAACATTCCACAAAGGACTGGATAAAATAAAGCAGAGTGTGCCGTTCCAGGCGGCCGCCATGTATGTCTTGTCCTGTGTTGTCTTGTGTGTTCATTCCTTTGTTTAGGAAACACGCGGACCCCAACAACTGGCGCAGGGAGCAGGGTCCGTGGCTCCAAGAGAGCAAGGAACCGGAGGGGGAGCACCCTGGGTTTGTAAGTAAAACAAAAAAAGGGGGACCCACGGGATAATTATGGGGAATTCCACCTCTCTGGCCTCAGAATATTTATGGCTGCTTCAAGGACTGTTGCTGTCTATAGGAGTAGAAGTGAAAGAAAAGACTTTGAAGCGATTGTTTGCCCATGTTGAACAACATTGTTACTGGTTTCAGTATCAGACTAAAGTGCAGCTGAATCAGAGAGAATGGTTACAGGTAGTAAAAGCTTTGCGTAGAGCTCATCAGTTAGGGGATACTATGCCTTTAAATTTGTGGACTTTGTGTAGCTCTATCACTCAGGCTTTAGAGTTACTTGAGATTCATTCAGAGCGTGGTGATGTAGCTACAGAAGGAAAGGCATCTGAGGATTTGGGAAAAAATGAATCGAAATGGAGCCCATTTATGCCAAAGTAACAGAGGATGGGGGGGTAGCAAAAGGGGGAGAAGAGGAAGAGCCAACTCTTCCTTCTTCTAAGGGGAATTCTGATATGCAGCATATTATGGAAATGCTTCAACAGATATTACAGATACATTCTTCTAATTCACCTTTGAGAGCTTTCCCTGTTTCTCTTCCTTCTGCCCCCATAGAAGGGGATTTTCCAGTGCCTCCACCGCCCCCCAGCTTCCTTATCTTTGTCTGGCAAAGTTTTCCCAGTGCCTTTGCCGCCACTGGGGGAGGGAGAAAAGGAAAAGAAAAGAGAATTTGAGGAGCTGGATCTGTTTCCAATTATTCGTGCTCCTTTTGCTCCTAATGCTCAGTTTCCAAATGGTGGCAATAATGTCCAATTTACTGCCTTACAATTTAAATTTTTGAAAGAAATGAAAGCTGCCATTTCTTTTTTTTTTTTAATTTATTTATTATTATTATACTTTAAGTTGTAGGGTACATGTGCATAACGTGCAGGTTTGTTACATATGTGTACTTGTGCCATGTTGGTGTGCTGCACCCATCAACTCGTCATTTATATTAGGTATAACTCCCAATGCAATCCCTCCCCCCTCCCCCCTCCCCATGATAGGCCCCGGTGTGTGATGTTCCCCTTCCCGAGTCCAAGTGATCTCATTGTTCAGTTCCCACCTATGAGTGAGAACCATGCGGTGTTTGGTTTTCTGTTCTTGTGATAGTTGCTAAGAGTGATGGTTTCCAGCTGCATCCATGTCCCCAAGGAACTGAAATATCCTTTTATAGCTTGCATATTATTCCATGGTGTATGTGCCACATTTTTCTTAACGAATCTGTCACTGATGGACATTTGGGTTGATTCAAGTCTTTGCTATTGTGAATAGTGCTGCAATAAACATATACGTGTGCATGTGTCTTTGCCTTGCTATAGACACTAATCCTTTGGGCCTTATACCCAGTAATGAGGATGGCTGCAAGATTATATCTGTTTTATCTAGTTCCTAGATCCTTGAGGAATCGCCACTGTTTTTCCGTAATGGTTGAACTAGTTTACAATCCACCAACAGTGTAAAAATGTTCCTATTTCTCACATCTCTCAGCACCTGTTGTTTCCCAGCTTTTAATGATGTCCAATCTAACTGGTGTGAGATAGTATCTCATTGTGGTTTTGATTTGCATTTCTCTGATGGTGAGTGATGATGAGCATTTTTCATGTGTCTGTTGGCTGTATAGTCTTCTTTGCAGAAATGTCTGTTCATATATCCTTTTGCCACCACCGATGGAGTTGTTTTGTTTTTCTTACATGAATTTGTTGCCTTTTGAGTTCTTTTTGCTGGTTCTGGATATTTAGCCCTTTGTCAGATGAGTAGTGCAAAAATTTACTATCCCATTCTGTAGCAAGTTGCCTATTCCACTCCCCAGTAGTGAATTTCTTGCTATGCAACTACTAGTTTAATAGAGATCCCATTTGTGTTGGCTTTTGTTGCGTTGCTTTTGGTGTTTTAGACATGTGAAGTCTTTGCCATGCCTATGTCACAGATATGGTACTACTGGTTTTCCTCTAGGATTTTTATGGTTTTAGGTCTAACATTTAAGTCTCTAATCCATCTTGAATTAATTTTTGTATAAGGTAAGAAAGGATCCAGTTTCAGCTTTCTCTGCTTGCCCATTATTAATTTTCAACACCATTTATTAAATAGGGAATCCTTACGCATTTTCTTGTTTTCTCTCCAGATTTGTCAAGATCAGTTGCTTTTGGTGTTTTAGACATGAAGTCTTTGCCCATGCCTATGTCCTGAATGGTACTACCTAGGTTTTCCTCTAGGATTTTTATGGTTTTAGGTCTAACATTTAAGTCTCTAATCCATCTTGAATTAATTTTTGTATAAGGAGTAAGGAAAGGATCCAGTTTCAGCTTTCTACTTATGGCTAGCCAATTTTCCCAGCACCATTTATTAAATAGGGAATCCTTTCCCCATTTCTTGTTTCTCTCAGATTTGTCAAAGATCAGATGGCTGTAGATGTGTGGTATTATTTCTGAGGACTCTGTTCTGTTCCATTGGTCTATATCTCTGTTTTGGTACCAGTACCGTGCTGTTTTGGTTACTGTAGCCTTGTAGTATAGTTTGAAGTCAGGTAGCGTGATGCCTCCAGCTTTGTTCTTTTGACTTAGGATTGTCTTGGAGATGCGGGCTCTTTTTTGGTTCCATATGAACTTTAAAGCAGTTTTTTCCAATTCTGTGAAGAAACTCATTGGTAGAAAGCTGCCATTTCTAACTATGGACCTCCATCTCCTTTTGTCCTTGGTCTTCTTGATGCTTTTTCATCAGAAAATTTGATGATTCCTATAGACTGGGAGACTTTGGGGAAGGCTGTTCTTGATCCTTCTCAGTGGTTACAATTGCGTAGCTGGTGGATGGACGAGGCGCATATGCAGGCTAGGAAAAATGCTATGCGTGATCCCCCAGGACCCACTGAGGAACAACTCGCAGGCATGGGCCAATATGCTACTCTTAATGCTCAGGCTGGCCTAGATGATGTTGCCCTTACTCAAATCAAGACTTTGTTTTTAAGGGCCTGGAATAAGGTAGAGATAACAGAAAAATCTTCCCTTTCCTTTGTGAAGATTTTACAGGGTGCAAATGAACCATATCCAGATTTTGTAGCCCGTCTTCAGGATGCTGTCTTGAAAACTGTGGGTGTTGGCTCTGCTCCAAAAATTTTGTTACAAACATTGTCTTTTGAAAATGCTAATGCTGACTGTCAAAAATTGTTGGACCATTAAAGGCCAGTGGGGCCAATTTAGATGAATATATTAGAGCTTGTGCTGGTGTTGGAGGGGCTATTTATAATGCTCAATTATTTGCTGGAGCCCTGTCTAAAGCCTTAAAAGGAAATAACAAACCAGGTGTTTGCTTTCAATGTGGTAAACCCGGACATTTCAAAAAAGAATGTCGTAAAAAATTGAACACTTTTATCCCTCAAGGCAGAAAGTTGCCTTCAGAGGTGTGAAAACGTTGTGGTAAAGGTCGACATTGGACAAATGAATGTCGTTCCTAAACTGATAAAAGTGGAAATTTACTGTCTCCTCTCCCGGGAACCAGGAGCCAGGGCCCACAGGCTTGGGGCCCCAACAATTACAATGCAAGCCTACTACAATACCCAGTGAGCAATGGCCTACAACATCAAGGAATGAATTCGAGTCCTCCTTAAGGATCCCACACCTTACCCCAGTTTCTCAGCTCTATGCGGCAACTAAGCAGAGCGCTGCTGCTGACTTAGCCATTACTCAGCCTTATACCTTGTCTCCTAATGGAGGAGTATATAAATTAGCTACTGGAGTGTGTTGCCCTTTGCCAAAAGGACATGTAGGACTTTCGTTAGGTCGAAACAGCAGTGCTATACGGGGGTTAATGGTGATTCCAGGAATCATTGATCCTGAATTTACTAATGAAATTCTTATTATGGTACAAGTCTCACAATTTATGCGCCTAGAGGCAGGGGAGCATATTGCACAATTACTTTTATTGCCTTTTTTTTCCATTCCTATCTAGAGAGGTATCTCGACAGGGAGGGTTTGGTAGCACAGGAAAAACTGTTTTTTGGGAAACTTTAGTTTCTGATCAAAAGCCCTTATGTTCATTGCACATTAATGGAATAGTTTTTGAAGGGTTAATTGATACGGAAGCAGATGTGTCTTTCATTTGTTTAAATCAGTGGCCTATGCAATGGGAAAAAAGACAAGTTTCAGTTACACTCACTGACTTGGGTGCTGCTTCTGTGGTTTATCAAAGCGTAGAACCTTTAACCTGTGTCAGTCCTGAAGGTCAACAAGGTCAAGTGTTTTTTTATATTGTTCCTATCAATATTAATCTTTGGGGATGGGATCTTTTACAACAATTTGGTGCTTTTTTAAGCATTCCTCATATTTCTTCAGCTGCCAAAAATATGATGTTCAAAATGGGCTACGATCCTTTAAACTCTTAGCCACTGTTCACCAGCCTCAAGCTTTACAGTTAAAGTGGAAAACTACCACTCCTGTTTGGGTGGAACAGTGGCCATTATCTAAAGAAAAACTTGAGGCTTTAAAAGAGTTAGTCAAAGAACAAATGGCTGAGGGGCATATAGAGCCAAGTACTTCTTCATGGAATTCTCCTGTCTTTGTGATTAAAAAAAAAAAGGAAAATGGCGTTTATTAACTGATCTTAGAGCTGTAAATGCTTGCATTCAACCTATGGGGAGTTTGCAGTCTGGTCTTCCTAATCCCGCCCTTATCCTACAAAGTTGGAAATTAATAGTCATAGATCTCAAAGATTGTTTTTTCTCTATTCCATTGCAACCTCAAGATTGTGAGAAGTTTGCCTTTGCTATTCCTGAATATAATAATGGGCAACCTACACAAAGATATCAGTGGAAGGTTCCTCCCCAGGGTATGCTTAATAGCCCTACTTTATGTCAAGAATTCGTACATAGGGCTTCAAATCCTGTGAGGAATCAGTTTCCAACTGTGTTGATTTATCATTACATGAATGATATTTTATTGGCTACCCCTGACATAACCCTCCAAAACCAAGTTTTTAAGGTTTTACAACAACAGTTAATTCATTATAATTTACAAATATCTCCTGAGAAGGTACAAACTCAGTTCCCCATTCAATATTTGGGGTATCTATTGGCTGAAAAACAACTCCACCCACAAAAGGTTCAAATTAGAAGAGATCAACTTGTGACCCTTAATGATTTTCAGAAATTGTTGGGGGATATTAATTGGCTTCGTCCTATCTTAGGTATTCCTACTTATAAATTACAACATTTGTTTGCTACCTTGGAAGGGGATTCAGACTTAAATAGTTCTCGGCAATTATCCTCTGCTGCAGAAGAGGAATTGTCTTTTGTGGAAAATAGAATTCGTGAAGCTCACCTTGATTATATTATACCCGATCTTCCACTCTCTTTATGTCTTTTTCATACTCCTCATTCACCAACAGCCATCTTACATCAGGATAATAACATTCTGGAGTGGCTATTTTTGGCTAATAAAGCCATTAAAAAATTCACCCTTATATTGATAAATTGGCTGAATTGATTATTAAGGGGTGACATAGAGCTCATCAATTGCTTGGAACTGACCCTATAAAAATTATTACTCGATTATCTAATCAATACATTGAATCTTTACTAGAAACTCATGAAGGACGGCAAGTGGCTTGCGCTGAATATACTGGTTCCTTTTCTCAGCACTATCCCAGTCATAGATTATTTGCTTTTCTACAACAATATTCTTTCCTGCCCTATACTCCTATTTCTTATACTCCGGTTAAAGGTCCCACCTTTTTTACTGACGCTTCTAGCAATGGAAAAGCTGGATACTGGGCATCGGATAATTCAAGAATTTCTCATTATCCATTTAAATCTGTACAACAGGGAGAACTTTTTGCCATTCTTATGGTACTGCAAGATTGGCCTCAAACCCCTTGTAATATAGTTAGTGATTCCCAATATGCTGTATATGTGACTAAGTATATTTCTCAAACTTCTTTACCATTACTCCCAAAAACTCCTTTACAAAAACTATTTTCCTTATTGTTCTTGACTCTTACTTCCCGTACAACCCCCCTTTTAATCACTCATATTCGTTCACATTCAGTTTTACCAGGGCCTTTAACTTTTGGCAATAGCCAAATTGATTCTTTACTTGTTGGCAATGTCCAACAGGCTCAGGATGAACATCAATTACATCATACTAACAGTTTAGGATTACAGCGGCGATTTTCTATAACACGCCGCCAAGCCCGAGCTATTGTCAGAGCTTGTCCATCTTGTGCTCCTATTATTGCACCCTTTTTAAGTCCAGGTATGAATCCCCGAGGCACTCAACAAAATCATATTTGGCAAATGGATGTCACTTATGTTTCTTCTTTTGGTCATTTGAAATATGTTCATCATACAATTGATACTTGGTCACACTTCCAATGGGCTACACCATTACCCTCTGAAAAAGCTGATTCTGTTATTACCCATTTGCTTACTTGCTTTGCAGTTATGGGAGTTCCTGCTGAATTAAAAACTGACAATGCTCCTGCTTATTGCTCTCATAAATTGGCTGCCTTCCTCTCTTCATACCACATTCGTCATTCCACTGGTATTCCATTTAACAGTCAAGGTCAAGCAATTATTGAAAGAGCTAATGCTACCTTAAAATTACAACTTTTAAAACAAACAGGGGGAAATGGACGAGATTCCCCAAAACATCAAATTCTGAAAGCTCTTTTTACTCTAAATTTTCTTAACTATTGGCGCCAATTACAGCAATCTGCAGCAGTGAAACATTTTCAACAACCATTAGAAAAGCCACAAGCTAGCAATTTGTGGGTGCACTATCCTTCATTACAAGGCCAATATTTAAAAGGAAAAGTTTTACAGTGGGGTCGAGGTTATGCTCTCGTTCGTACAGGTGCTGGAGATGAGTGGTTCCCATCCCGACAGTTGAAGCAGTGCCATGGGGAAGAGGAGCCAGCAGGTGGACTTCCTGGCGGCATTTCAGGAATTGAATCTGAGTGCTCAGAGAACCTTCACCTTCAGAACTCATCGAGCGGAACCCCCGACATGGGGTCAGCTGAAAAAACTTACTCAAGAAGCTGAAGGGGTTGTTCAACAAGCTGGACAGCCCAAAACCTCACTGACCTTATTTCTGGCTATGCTAGCTGTAGTGAATTGCCAGGTAACAGCTGGAGAATTCACATATTGGGCTTATATTCCCTTTCCACCCTTATATCAAGGTGTGGTCTGGGGAGACAAAGAAGTTTTAGTATTTACTAATGATACTGCTTGGATGCCATCACCTTTTTAAAATCAGGATCCTGAGTTAGACACGGGTGCAGTAAACAATTCATACCAATTTGGGGTGGAAGGGTTACCTATATGTCTTGGGAATAGTCCACATTGTTTACATCCTTCTCATGAGGCTTGGGCTGTGCGCTATAATCATAGTCACACTGCTGCCTTTACTATGATTGTTGTTACTCAGAGTTTTAAATATAATCATACTGCTCTGCTTAATGAAACCTTGCCTACTACATTATCCTTATGTCCTATTCCTGACGTGTCAGAAGGTGTTTCCCAATTAGAGTGGACTAGATGTAGAGGAAGTGGACCACGATTATTATTAGAGGTAAAAGGTAGGAATTACAGATACCTTGTCACTGACTGGAGTGTGCATGGGGATTTTCAGACTAAGTTTAGTCACATTAGCCTACGATGGCATAGAAATAATCACAGCATTTATGCTGATGGTAACGAAACTATTATTTGGCATGATGGTGGCTTGTCACCCCCTATGCCACATTTGGCCAACACCTCACAAATACAAAGTCATATATGGAAGTTACTAGCTGCTGGCAAACCAATGTCTACTTTTATGGGAAACATGTCCTTAAATACCACTAATCCTTCTAATCCTTTCCATATATCTTTGCATCGAAACAGATCTAGATATGTCATTGCTTGTGTTAAAAAACCTTACTTGTTGTTAGCAGGAATCTTTAAATGGGATAATAATACAGGAGTAGTTAATTGTATGGGCAATTGTACAATTTTAAGCTGTATAAATACTACTTGGTGGCATAATAATTGGAATGAGACTCACTCCGATATATATATTTTAAGAGCTAGAAAAGAAACCTGGTTACCTGTGAACTTGACACGCATCTGGAGTGAATCTGCTGGGGTTACTCAAATTTACAAAGTAATGCAAGATCTTGTCCACCGCAGCCGGAGAGCGGTTGGGATCGTCGTAACAGCAGTAGTGGGACTTGTGGCCATTGCTTCCACCGCCCGCTGTTGCTGGACTGGCGTTACATCAGAGTATCCAAAATGCAGAGTTCGTGCAACAATGGCATGAACAATCTCACTTGTTGTGGCAACAACAACGAGACATCGATGCTCATTTGACTGAACGAGTAGATAACTTAGAACAAGTGGTTTCTTGGATAGGGGATCAGCTGACAGTGTTAAATACTCGAGCCTTGTTAAAATGTGACTGGAATACCACTCAATTTTGTATTACCCCTGTTCCTTTTAACAGCACTGTACATAATTGGACAGAGATAAAAAGGCTTTTAATTGGCCATAACAATCTTTCCCTGGAAATACAAGAACTAACACACAATATTTCTGAAACATTTCGTAATCAGTTACCATTGTTGACTGGCACAGATTTAATGACTGGTATTGCGCAAAGCTTGAAATCTTTATACCCTATGAGTCCTGTAAAAACCTTACTGACTTCTGTTTCTAGTAATGTATTGATTGTTGTTTTTGCCTTTGTCATTTTCACAGTCTGCTGGAAACGGTGCCAAAGGGCAAACACCGAATCCCAACGAGCCCAACATGTGATGATGGTTTTGAAAGAAATTCAAACCTGTAAATAAGAAGGGGGAGATGTAGAGGACTGTGTGCTCGCAAACAAGAAGTTCCCGATAAGCCCTGCTCTTGCAGACAAAGCAGGACATTCCTTCTCTGCAAACAAGAAGGATATAGGAGCCAGCTGTAAGCAGCGGGCTCTGGGAACTGGTCAATGTTTTACTGATCTTGCGAGTCAAGGAAAGGTCAGAGAAGCAACACATGTCCCGTGACTTGGCAACATTCCACAAAGGACTGGATAAAATAAAGCAGAATGTGCCGTTCGGGGCGGCCGCCATGTATGTCTTGTCCTGTGTTGTCTTGTGTGTTCATTCCTTTGTTTAGGAAACATGCGGACCCCAACAGAGATTAACAGAATGAATAGGAAAACATGAACTAACTTTATGCGATCTACAAGAGACTCACTTTAGAGTCAACAGCACAAATACATTGAATGTGAAAGGATGGGGAAAGTTATTCCATGCAAACAGTAACCAAAAGAGAGCAGAGGTGGCTATACTAATATCAAACAAAATGGACTTTAAATTTAAAATTTTGTGAGACAATGGATATTAACAAATGCTTCATTACCACAAGAAGGTGTAAGAATTATAAACATTTATGCACCTAACAACAGTCCATCAGAATATATGAGGCAATAAAATGATAGAATTTAAGGAAGAAATAGACAACTCTACAATATTTGGAGACTTCAGTACCCCCACTCTCAATAACAAATAGAACAATCAGATGGAAGATAAGGAAGGAAATAGAGAACTTAACACAATAAACCAACTTGATCTAACATAATAGATTTATCCAGGACACTCTACCCAGTAACAACACACATTCTTCTTAACTGCATATGGGACATTTTCCAGAATAGAGCACATATTAGGTCACAACTTAAGTCTCAACTCATTTTAAAAAATAGTTATCATAGGCTACATTTCTTTTTTTTTTTTTTTTGGAGATAGAGTCTCGCTCTGCCACCCAGACTGGAGTGCAGTGGTGCGATCTCAGCTCACTGCAACCTCCACCTCCCAGGTTCAAGCGATTCTCTTGCCTCAGCCTCCCAAGTGGCTGGGATTACAGGTGCCTGCCACCATGCCTGGCTGATTTTTATATATTTAGGACAGACAGGTTTCACCATGCTGGCCAGGCTGGTCTCAAACTCCCGATCTCAGATGATCCACCCACTTCAGCTGACTGGACCCCTTCCTTACACCATATACAAAAATTAACTCAAGATGGATTAAAGATTTAAACATAAGACCCAAAACCAAAAAAAAAAAAAAAAAAAAAAAAAAAAAAAAAAAAGCCTAGAAGTAAACCTAAGCAACATTCAGGACATAGGCATGGACAAAGACTTCATGACTAAAACACCAAAAGCAATTGCAACAAAAGCCAAAATTGACAAATGGGATCTAATTAAACTAAAGAGCTTTTGCACAGCAAAAGAAACTATCATCAGAGTGAACAGGCAACCCACAGAATGGGAGAAAATTTTTGCAATCTATCCATCTGACAAAGGGCTAATATTCAGAATCTACAAGGAATTTAAGCAAATTTACAAGAAAAAAACAAAAACCCCATCAAAAAGTGGGTAAAGGATATGAACAAACACTTCTCAAAAGAAGAGATTCATGTAGCCAACACATATATGAAAAAAGCTCATCACTAGTCATTACAGGAATGCAAATCAAAACCACAATGAGATACCATCTCATGCCAGTTAGAATGGTGATCATTAAAATGTCAGGAAACAGCAGATGCTGGAGAGGATGTGGAGAAATAGGAACGCTTTTACATTGTTGGTGGGAGGGTAAATTAGTTCAACCATTGTGGAAGGCAGTGACGCAATTCTTCAAGGATCTAGAACCAGAAATACCATTTGACCCAGCAATCCCATTACTGGGTATATATCTAAAGATCATAAATCATTCTACTATAAAGACACATGCACACATATGTTTATTGCAGCACTGTTCACAATAGCAGAGACTTGGAACCAACCCAAATGCCTATCAGTGATAGACTGAATAAAGAAAATGTGGCTCATATACACCATGGAATACTATGCAGCCATAAAAAAGGATGAGTTCATGTCCTTTGCAGGGACATGGATGAAGCTAGAAACCATCATTCTCAGCAAACTAACACAAGAACAGAAAACCAAACACCACATATTCTCACTCATAAGTGGGATTGAACAATGAGAACATATGGACACAGAGAGGGGTACATCACACACTGTTGAGAGGTAGGGGGCTAGGGGAGGAATAGAATTAGGAGAAATACCTAATGTAGATGACAGGTTGATGGGTGCAACAAACCACCACGGCACGTGTATACCTATATAAGAAACCTGCATGTTCTGCACATGTATCCCAGAACTTAAAGTATAATTTAAAAAAAAGAAAAAGAAAAAAATAGCTGTCAAAGGACCATCTCCTATCAGGATGAAGTTAGAAATCAGTAACAGAAGGAAAGCAGGAAAACTCACAAATGTATGCAAATTAAATACATTCTTAGCCAATGGATCAAAGCATAAATCACCAGATAAATTAGAAAGTACTTAGAGATGAATAAAAACAAATGCACAACACAACAATCTAGATTATGACCTCAACAAATGCTCATTATTATTATCATTGTTAGATCATTATTGGCATTACTGTGTTCGAAAGCAAGCTGGAGAACATGGCAAATGACCATATATTAAAGAGTTAGGAAATCCATGTGGACTGCTGACACTGAAAAAGAGGCTAGAATCAAATTTGCAGGTAGCCCAAACCCTGAAAAATTGGTTAGGGTCTGGAAGGACTTCATCCGGTGGGACACAGCAAAAGCAGTACTAAGGAGGAAATTTACAGCTATAAACACACTAAAAAAATAAGAAAAATCAGAAAGTGGAGACATTACTACCAATTGCACAAAATGTAAAAAGGGGTATAAGACAGTAATATGAATTATACATGTTATACAGGAACAAATTGAATAACTTAGATGAAATGGACAAATCCTAGAAACACAAAACCTACTGAGACTGAATCAAGAAGATATAAAAAATCTGAATAGCCTATGACTAATAAGGAGATGGAAGTAGTAATCAAAAATCTCCCAGCAAAGAAAAGCTTTGGGCCTGATGGCTTCACAGATGAATTCTACCAAAAATTTAAATCACTAACCCTAATCCTTTTCAAATTCTTTCAAAACTTGAAGAGGATGGGACGCTTCCTAACTCATTCTATGAGGTCAGCATTACCTGGATACCAAAGCCAAAGACGTTACAATAAAAGAGAGGTATAGACCAATGTCCCTTATGATGGAGGCCCTGCTTTCACATCAGCAGTGACATAACCAATGAAGCTTCTCTTTCACTCCGAGTTCAGGGTGGCACATTTTGCGAAACATGCTTATAAGCTTGGTGCTGAGAGATCTGCAATTTTTTTGGCAGAAGATATAAAGAACTAGGGAGGAGGAGGAAATCAAAATTAATATTGTGTCCATTTATGCTTGGTTTCATTTATATCCTTCTCTGCACTTGCAACCTGGGGATCTATTTCCATTTCTTAGCCATTAATATCCACAATACAAAAGCTTGAAATGTTACAGAGCCAGAGCAGCTGTTCTTGAAGGGGTGAGACAGTTCAAAAAAGGAAAATCCTGCAGAGGTAAACCAATTGAGGAATGCTACCAAGAGGAGGCTACGTTGATTCTCCAGAGCTATACAATACTTGGGACATACGTATACCTTAAAAAAAGAAAATTTTTGTTTATCTAAAGTTCAAATTTAACAGGGTACACTATTTTTCATTTGTTTGTTTGTTGCTAAATCTGGCACTCTTCCTTCAGCTGGGAACATTCACCCATGTGTTTGTCACGTTTGTCCCATGCCATGGGATGACTGGATAGGGAAGAGTTGAGTCAGCAAATATGTGTTACATTCCTGTTCAGAGTCTGGCTCTACAGATGATATGAAAGAAATCAGCTACATCACCCTATCATTTAAGACTTGGGACCTGGAGGGCTTGCATAGGGCATTCCTTATACATGGTGGGCACTCCAGAAATCTTTGTAGATGCTTGAGGGAATGAATGATAGTGTGGGTTTTTATAAGCTTGCTACATTGGTGGTGTGTAGGATATAGACTTGCAGATCTTAATGATTTCAGATTGTTGTTAGAGAGCTGGATAATATGGTCATAAAGTTTTCACTGGAATAAAGAGTTTCTGCAAAGACATAAGAATTCCATTTTGAGGGAAATAAGTCTGCTTGAACTAAAAGATCATAATAGTTTGGCATCTGTCCCACTGCAATTTTATGGAAAGAAGCTATAGTTACTGACCCATTTTTATATATATATATATATATATATATATATATATATATAAAGGAAATTTACCACTCCTTCATAAGTGGTATCTAAATGGAATGGCTTGCAATTAAGAAGGAAAGTGCTGATCTGGGAGTTTATTAGGCATGAAGCCTGCATCAGATTTTGAGCATGGGTCATCAGCTGATTTGGGTTTCAGGCCCAACAATGTTGGTACCACACTGCTATTCACCAGTGTTTTTGAAAATATGTTCAACTCAAGTATATTCATCCTTACTTATGGAGAACCTCATATTCCAGTGGGAGATACTGGGGTGGATAAAGACTCATGAGACAAAAAGCCTGCCCTGAAGAAGTTTATAAAGCACAAGATTCCATGCATTCTGCCTGCCCAAGCACATCCCTCCAGTAATGTCCCCTTCACTTCCGACATTGTCAACATCATTTTTTGCTCTCTTCTAGATTGCTTCCATCAGTATACAAACATGCTGCTATTGCTCCTGTTCTGTAATTAAAACAAAACTTTCTTTAGACCCCACTTCCTCTGCCAGCTACTGCTCTATTTCTTTTTACTAAAACTCCTAAAAAGATTTTACTAAACTCACTGCTTCCAATTCTTCATCTTCGGTTCTCTCTCAAACCCATCCAGACTTTCTATCTACCTATCTCCAGTCCTCTGATACTATTCTATTTAAGGTCATCAATTCTTCCATGCTGTTAAATTCAATGGCAATTCCCAGCTGAAAATTTCATCAATTTAATAGCAGTATCTGAAATGGTTCATCACTACCCTTCCCTGGAGCACTTTCTTCACTTAACTTCTAAGACCACATACCCTTTCAACTTTCTTTCTTATCCCTTAGGTTTGGGCTACAATAAAATTGCACAACAAATAATTCCAAAATCTCAGTAGCTTGCAAAGACCACCATTCCATTTCTCACACACAGGTCTGATGGTTGGTT